AAAGAAAGAGGAACAATTTATAGAATCACCATTGAAAATGAAATATCCCCGAGCGCCGTTAATGGGAGGGAATATCACACTGTGCACGGAAGGTTTTTATTTTTCATAATTCCATGTCTTTTCAGAAGGAATGAACACGTTTCATGTCCAGGAGCGAGAACAGAGCTTTCATCTAGAAAAGTAAGAATACAATACATGTAAAATAAAAGACACAGGTGTTCAGAATAAGGTAAAGGTAAAATAAAAGTTAAAAAATTTTGACAGGGCATTAATTTTTTTAAATAATACATTACAACACTGCATAGATTCCATACTGAGGTGGATAGTTTGGCATTGATCATCTATAAATGACGGAAATTAATTTACCCAAACCAGGAGCAAAAAAAGCTGTGCTGTATTCAAGACAGAGGTTTCTGTTACAGCAAACCTCCATTAGCCCTTGTTAACGGCGGAAAAAGAAGAGATGGAAGCGCCGGGGGAAAGAGGGGTAATTGGCTCTCTCCCAAGCAGCGAGCAGCCAATGTGTGATTGTGCATCGGTCTGCTGGTACTGGGAAACATCCCTGTCAGCACAGGGATGAGAGCGGCTTATTACACTGGGAGCAGCGCTCAGTGGCAGGTACAAAGGTGGAGATTCTGAGGAATGATAACTACCTTTAAAGTGGGAATGCTTGAAACAAGCACAGAGGCCGCAGGGTAATGAAAGACTGCTCGACAGTTTAGACACAGCGCTCTGTCGGTGACCGGAGCAAAGAATCATTTTTTCCTTTTACACCTGCACGACGGTCCAGACCTGAAAATTACACTGGAAAAATTATACACTATTACTCCTATCACTGTTACTGTGTGTTTTCATATGTGAAGCTGCTTTTTCAGCACATCTCATGCATATTTTACATGAAAATATACATAAATACAAATTAAAACTGAAGTTAAATTGAGTTAAAACTTTTTTTGCATGCGAACTGTGAAAACAGTCCTCTGTAAGTATATACTTAATATGGAGCTGGGAAACAACACAGTGCTGTTTGCTGGCGGGAGAAGCACAGGTGTAACTAATAACATTAACGATTAAGCTGTGCCAGTCAGTCACATACACAGAGCGACTGCCTCAGCTCATCTGAGTGGACCACAGCCAATGTTAATTAGTTAGTTATTAGTTACACCTGTGTCTGGCAAGACATGAGACTGGTCCATTCCTCAGTGAAATGATCTTTCATCCCAACTGTGCAACTTATGTGTACATTACAATTCTCCACCACAAATGTGTTTTTGTGTAGATTAGGAAGCTCAACTCTTGTGATGAAAATGTTATATATTATATTATATTATATTATTTATTCTGTGTTTTTCTTGCAGGAAAAAAATGAGGCTCAACAAAAGAAAAGCCATGTCACATAGACATTAACTTTCATATGCAGTATCATTCATTAAAAGGTTTTATTTGTAAGTTTTGTTATTGTTACATAAAAAAAATGAAAAGTATCTGAGTTTACAGCAGGAAAAAAGGATTACAATTATATATACTCTTCCTTCCCACTGCCTGTTTCTGCATGAATATTTTCTTCTCATTTCTGACATGCAGCTCTTCCTGTAAGCCTCAGCACTCATTTGTTTGCTCATTTGTGGATGGGTCGGAATCTGTAATGTTTAGTCTTGAGGGAAAGTGTTGGGGGGAAATCAAGGACATGAAGCATACTGTATAAGTGTTTAAATATTAATTTAAATCCAAACTTTGTCAACTAAAGTCATGATACAAGTACCTGGGGCACCCACACAGGTGTTTTCACTTACAGTGCTGTGCTTGAGTGACACCTCCCTGACCGTCCTGAGAGCTTTGCTGCACCTGCTGGGAAAAGTAAATGGACTTTAGTAACGTCCATTTGGCTCAAGCCAACTTCTACCTGCACGAGCATGAGTCTAATTATCCAGGATGAATGCAAACACCAGTGTGGTTGTGCAGTGCACTTCATCAGCCAACTTTAACAAACAACACAAGACAAATGTGTTTCTGCACCGTTTCCTTTTTGGTGTTGTTGCAGATCATCTTGTCATTCGGTGTCAATGAAAACTGTGTGTGTCAGTGTGACACTGTCAAGTGATTGAAGGAGTGTAAAATACACAATTGGGTTCCACTTGAGCTGAGTGTGTGAGGATTAAAATACCAGTCACTGGTCTGTAGTAGGAGGGAAGGTGGAGGGAGGGTGTTCTTGAATTTAAAACTCTTAGCACGATCAATATAAGCAAAACATGATCAGCAAAAATTTAAAAACACTGTCATGGGGCCCTGGGTCAAACGTTTTCTGTTGGGCCTTTATTGACACCCACCGACCGACTTCCGTGCAATGTGTGTGTACCCTGACATTCATCTAAATTAAGTCCATTACAAATGGTATTCCATATTAGGAAAATGCACCATGTAAACACAATCTAATCTAGACTAATAAAGCTCCTAATAACAGATTTGATGCAGTAAAGAAAGAAAGGACAAAGAAAGGACCATAAAATGAGCTAATAATGCTGGACCTGCTTGGCAGGAAAATCAAGGACATGAAACAATATTGTGTGAATTCCCAATTAATCATCAAATTTCTAATTAATCCAACTACCAAAAGTTATTGGAATGCAGTAAAACCTGAGGCTTCTGGGGATCCTTTGAGGTCGGGGGTCCGCAGGCAGTTGCCAGTTTTTCTGAGTTGGTACTGATCAAGAACAGAGGACGAGAAAATAAATGAACTGAAATAAAGAACCACCAAAGAACATTTTTAGACTCAAGGGAAGAACACATTTCAAACCAAATGTGTGTGACCATCAGTTTTGTGTTGGTAGACAACCAAGATTTCTAAAGCTCATGGTGCCAAAACGCCTAAAAAGCTCTGACTTCATTGTGTATGAGCAACTGAACAAACAGCGTCTTTGTGAATAAAATCACAGAACATGCCCCTCTTGGCACTTTGTCCCACAGCAGAGTGTTTCTGAGCTCCTCCGGCGGCTGTCAGGACGCCTGTCTGGATATTAGGGCCGGACGAGTGGCTTCTGCTCTCCATTAGAGCTGTCAGCTCCACTGAATGACTCTCTTTAATCACTTCAAATATCATTTCACACAAGGAATTTCAAGCCACTTGCAGAGCGACAGAGAAGACAAAGGCACATCAAGCCAGGCCTCGCCAAAGCGTTTGCAGGCTGGCAGCTGGGAGCGTCACGTGCGGGGAATTGTGACTTTTCAGAGAAAAAGTGCGAGACAGTTTTGGTGTGAAACAGCTAAATGAGAGGAGATGAAAGAATCAGAATTTATTACTGTAAAATCGCATTGAGTTTGACTGCTCCTATCAACACAGCGCAAGTATCCCTCCTTTGATTCGTGATGCCTAACGCGTCCTCTGAGCCATGATGTTGATATGACCGAGTGATCCCTCGTGATGGAGCCGATCAAAGACTCGATTTTCTGCTTGTCTGATATTTCAATGTCAAAACTATTTGCCGGGGGGAGCTTTGTTTCACCCGCTCTTGCAAGCTGACCACCCACCAGAATAACTATCTGCCCACACCGATGTTTGCTGCAGATGAACAGTTGCTGTAAATCCCGGTGTCTTCTTCCCGGGATTTATATCAACCTCCATCCTATACTTATACACTTCCACAGAGTGAATTCCAACCAAGGCGCCACCCCAAAACCCCCGTGTTACATGTTCTGCTTGCGATTGCTCTATTATTGACCTTTAACCTTCACTGAGGGCAACAGTCATGAGGTGGAGGAACTCGCTGATGCAGTAGCTTTTCTCCAGAGGATATCATCTCCAACATACACTCTCTTATTTATACAGCAGCAGGGTGGAAAACTTGCTTTGGTCTTCTTTTGAATTGGAGAGGTCAGAGGGGAGGTTTGTATGTTGAGGAGCCAAGACGTTATCCGGGTTAACTGGGTGTTAAATTACATCACTAATCAGTTTTTTTTTTTTTTTTTTTTTACAGTAAACTTGAATATGAATTGACCACTGGTTTTGAACACAACATGAACTCTTTGACCTGTTAAGAGCCATTAATAGGCTGCTTTTATTGCATATGTTATTACTTGGTCAGTGGAAGTTTATTTTTTCCTGTTTTATATTTAAATGTGTAAGACTCTGTGAGGCTCTGAGCCTCTCTTCTGATTGGCTGCAACGTGGGCGGGGCTTGGGTCATGGCTGAGGGCAGTGACTGTTTTGTTGTGACATCACAAAGTTACAGAAGTCCCGACGGCCTGTTTGAAGGCTCAGTTTCTGAATACAGGCTGTGTGCATTTCTCTGTGACTGAGGCTTTGATACTTTCACTGTATTAATATAGAAGCCAGACCTGCTTTTTTAATCAAAGGAGACATGGAAATCTACCTTTATACGATGTGAAACCACAGCCTGTATTCAGAAACTGTGCGTTAAAACGAGCTGTCGGGACTTCTGTAACTTTGTGATGTTGATAATGAGTTTCAAAGAGAAGCCAGAGAGAGGAGATTTTAAACTACACTGAACTGGGTTTTTGTATTTTAAACCACAAACATATCTTCTTATTGATATCACAACTTCAAATAATACACTGTGAAAGTGTGAAATACGAGACCTTTAAATCTATTGAAGTGAAAAAGTGCTTTATTTTTGAATTGTTTATGAATTCAACCTTTAAAAGGAAGACTGTGTTATTTCCTATTTCAAATGTTACTTAGGTTTTCTCAATTTTAGAGCAACTGCACTTCTCCAAATGATGGATGTCATAAAGTCTGAGTGACAATTAACTGTCAGCGGCGGTCTGGGTTTTTCCTGTCATGAACCGGAGCTCGCAATATCCATTACCTCTGTCCTCTTCAACCTTTGAGGAACGATGGCCCATGTTTCTGTGTGAAAGGACATGGCTCCAGCATCAGGCGGCACATCCCTCTCTGTCTCTGCAAGGCCTGCTGGGACCTCTTAGGTGACAGCGTCACTCGAGCTGAGGTTGAGGGCTTCCTCCAGCCGGCTGCTTGGCTGCCTGCCTGCCCCTCTTCCTCCGTACTCAATGGACATTGATCCCCCAGCAGCGACACCGTGTCCCAGGGAGGGGTAAGCAGATACACCTCGTTGCCTCCAACAATCATTCTGCCCCTGTAGGGACAGGTCGTGGTAAATTAATAGTGTGCTTGCAGCGACTAGATATTGTTAATGTATTTGCTATTGATGGAGTGAGATAACATGAGTAGCTTCAGCCTTACTTAACACAAAACATAAATCCTCCAAGGCCAAAGAGGAGGAGCAGCAGGGGCAGTGAGTTATTTCAAGCTTTTAAGCAAAGTACAATACAGACAAATTCATTTGATATGATATGAATAATACCACCACACAGCATTATGAATCTCAGAATAAGTTTTCATTTTTTATCATAACACCACAGACAAGAGTTGAATAAATACTGGGCTATTTTAGAAAATGTGGTTTCGTTTAGGGAGTTTTGCTTTCTTGACAATTGAACAGTAAAGTGGCACACACCATTTAGTGAAGAGGAGTGTGTAGGGGAGAGGGCAGGTAGAGCCGAGAACAGAGAAAATAAGCCACTAGACCTTGTTATTCTCTGCTTAAAAATCGTGCCAATCAATCTCCTATTCTATTGAATGGATAAAGGTGCTTAAAAGCAAAATGAAAATATACTCATGTTTAAAAATGGAGCCTTCACCGTATGACTGAGTGCTGTTTTTTTCATTGCCCACATGATGCTTCGGCAAAGTCGTGATATTGCTCCATTGTGAGACTTTTAGGTAAAAAATCTGTTTACTACACCTGCTAAACACATTTTCATATTGCCGGTTGGAAAATATCACCCTGTCACTCAGTTCATGAAAGGTGCGCTCTACCTAAAACCTGGGGCGTAATCCACTTGATCCTTGGTACGAGCTGTCACAGCGCCGCATACGCACTGTCTAAGCCCACTTTGAACTTTCAGATTTGACAGGCTCTGGTGTGCTGTAACATGACTGATCAACTTTAAACTGACTTTCAAACGAAAGAATAAGAGACCCCCGGGTGGGTCCATCACTTACCAAATTCGCCACAGTGAAGTATATATGTACATACTGTATACTGTACCTGGTACCTGGTGGCCAGTACTGTTCTGACCTTAGACTTTTGTCACCCGCCGCTGTCTGGATGCTCTAAAAGCGTGAGTCTTTTGCACACACAGTCTGGCTCAGCATCCCAGAGGAGTTATGTCCACTTCACTTTACGATCCCCTTTTATATACAAGGGTAAAAATGAGGATGTGGAGGTCAGGGTGGCGAATGGTAAATGTATCACATCTGACTTTCATATAGTAGGCCAGAGTTCACGTCCTGCAATCAGAATTAGCTTCTTTTTTTTTTTTTAAATCAACTATAATCACATCTTTCTCAGCAATTTTTGTGTTTTGTTGTCAAGTTGAAGGGGGTGTTTTTGGCAGTAATGAATCTATTATGACTTGGCGCACCACAGTGTGGCAACGCTTACTTCCCACGCAGTGGATGAGACAGCTCTGAACTGGGCTTAATAATACTCCAACCTCAACCAAGCATGTTATTTACCTTAAAGTGACTGTAACCTATATATATACTGTATATATATATATATATATATACAGTATATATATATATAGCTTACAGTCACTTTATATATATATATATATGTATACACATATATAGAAAGGGGTCAACTTTCCCTCAGCTCCGCAGTGTTTCAGTGTCTTCCATCAAATTATTTTGGTTTATGTCCTGCAACTTTACTGTTCCAGTTCTCTCTCACTGCTCCCATCAACCTCTTTTCCAGCAGCAGGCAACACAAAGCTCTGATGCACCAAATGTGTGCTATCTGTCCGGCATCAAAAGCCACACAGACAATGTTAGCTACAAACTAGTAAATAGTTCTCAACATAGTGGAGAATTCAGCAGCTAAAGAACCAGGTATTTCCCTCAGGAGCGGGTGAAAAGCAAAAAGGAAAATATTGGTGGCCAGAAACCTAACTCCGGATGAATACTAAGTGCAAACACATTCACTGTAACAACCTAATGAGGTGATAGTATGAGGTGATAGTATGTCAGTGTTGTGTTTTTCTAAAGAAGTCAAAAACTCAACAATTCAGGTTTAAAGAAAGCCACATTTGTCAGAGCACTGTTTTCGGTTGTAATGCTTCTATCTCGGCCACTGGACTTTAGCTTGAAAGTAGTTGAGTAGGCATCAGAAGGTGAAAGTTTTGTCAGCGTCTGTGCTATTTCCTGAATGCAGTACTTACTGAACTTGAAAAAGACACAAGTAGAGAGGTTTTTTTTTTTTTTTTGCCAGCACTGCACCAAACACCTACATGAGGCCTCTGTGCACTATTACGTCTGCTGGGTAACAAGGTCTGTGAGCGGGATTCTATTGGGAGGGAATGTATACTGTAACTCCCTTTTCCCTGAATACCCCCCCCCCACCCCCACCCCCAACTAACCCACTTTCTATGAAGGAGAGCGAAAGTGACATGGAGGTAAGAGAACGAATACCATGACTGAAACACTGATCGGCCACAGTATTTAAACCGTTAACTGATGTGTGTGTGTGTGTGTGTGTGCGTGTGTGTGTGTGTGTGTGCGTGTTGAATGTTTGAAAAACTGCCCATCGTGTAAAAAGCTCAGAAAACTTTGGGTGTGATTGTAGAAGTAAAGTCTCCGAAAACATTTGTGCTCATCTGGTGTTGATGCCGCGGCTCCAAAAAACTGCAACGGCAACCGACTATTATGACATAAGACAAAATGTAAATGCAAGTGTTGTTTCCATGGTAGCTAGAATGAACACTAAGAGGTTTGCATTGTATGTATATTAAGCAGGTCGGTTCGTCACCACTGTGTGACTGCTGAGGAACGTTGTTCAGGCAGAACGGTGGCTCAGTGGTCGGCACTGCCCCCTCAGCTCCCCCCACATGTCCCATAATGTGTGCGACAGACTGGCTTGTCCATTACCTATAGCATGTTGGAATAGGCCCCGGTCCCGACACACTGAACAGGATATAGAAGGTGGATGAAGGGTTTATAAATTTTTCAGATATTATTGAATTGCACTTGCACTCTAAACACATGGAAAGCACCTGGGGGATAATTGGAGTAGCTAAACCAAAACTGGCAGAAATTCTTTTTTCAATGACAAGAAGAAGAAAAAAAACATCTCAAGCAATATTTCTTCACTTTTTTAAGAGGACGAGGAAAACGCTTAAATCCAAAGGCTGTTACCGAGATGTAAGATAGTGTCAGCAAAACAACATTATTCTATTTAATCATGTAAACCAACAGGTACTATTGACTGAATGAGCACAGCTTAAAGTCAGTCGAGAGCAAATATGCAATCTTACTGAGGAAACAATTACACTCTGTGTGTTCATAAATCTTGGGGAAAACAACCCCTGAAATTATGAGTTGTGAGTGAGCTTCAATTATTTTTAGGCTTTGTGAATTATTATAACAAATTCCTCCCAATCCTCTCAACTGTCCCTGAATACTAAGTGACCTTACTTTTGAATCATGGTCTATAAATGCTGATAAACACGAGACTATAAGACTATAAATCTCTTTGGTTTCCTCACAGAAAAGAGTTCAGCAGAAGCCCCTCTGTCTTTCCTGGAGAAAGGCATTGGTGGATTTTGTCCTGAGGTGATGACACTTACATCAAGTGCTACAACATTAATACCACTCACAACACAAGGCTACTGGGTGAACCGCTGTAGCTGGTAAGCTAACCGCTAACCCGCACTAGTCAGTCACAATCCTGCAATTTCCCTCTAATTTCTGTCCGTCTCTTTGTTTACTCCCCTGGCAGCTGAAGTGGGAAAAGGGAAAATAAAGCTCTCCATGCTAATGCGCTTGCTAATGGTAATTTGTGAATTTAGCTTGTTAGCTTATCTTGCTCTCCAATGGGATAATGCGTTCACAGTTTATTCAAAAGAAAAGAATTTGTACGATCGAAGTCTGTTTCATAAATATCTGCAAAACCATTTTTCTTTTGTAGAGTATTTTTTTTATTCTGAAAAGACATTCGATAAAAATGAATGGTGCAACACAGCAGCGGAGTTAGCTTCCTCCATTTTGGACTCTCCTCCCCGCTGTTTATTTATAACTTGAGAGGATAATTTCATGAAGATAATAAAAAAAAATATTGTTCTTACCAATGGCAAGAGTTTGTGTATTTGGATTTGTGGAGTGACTCGATGAAGAACTCAGAGGCAAAATATAAAGTGGAAATATGAATAAATATTCTTGAGAGGCACAGAGAGGAGGGGTGGGGGTGGGGGGGGCTCGTTTGCCTGAAGAATGTGATGCTCACTGAAGATAATGTTGTTGTATCAAACAATTTACTGTAAGTTTATAAATGATGGATTGACGGACCAGAGAAGTATTTACTTCCTGCTCCTTTTCATACATATAATAGTTATTGATGATGTTTAGTAAACACACTTCCAAACTTCTCCATTGTCTTTCAAGGTGAAACACACCTTGGTTTGAGGTCTGAGCAAGCAGCAACCACCACAGCTTAGTGTTCAAGCTTGAGCCCTGTCAATCAAGCAAGCAAGCCCCCCCCCCCAGTTTGCAGTTTATTAGACACATTTAACTAAACTGCTGCATTGAAGCTGTTCCGGTGGCACGTGGTGGCCCGACGCCTTACTAAGACACTCGGTGTTGGTTTTTCCTTTTTTACAACTATGTTATCTCTGATTAAACAAACATATATAATCAGAGATAACATGCTTAAATTACTCCATGGACCTTAACATGTTTAGGAATCTACCTGAAAGCACATGACAACACACCTCTTTAGAAGTGCTCTTGCTTATGAATCTGTTCACATCTCGCAAAAAGCTCTACAAGGAGAGAATGTTCCACTCCACTGCACAGAGAAAATCAGTCTCTCTCATAATAGCTCTGGGCAATTTCAGACCACACAGAATGACAAGGGAATCAATTTTCCTGGTTAGGTTATAGATGGATTTTCTTCGCCCGGTCTTCTCATAAGAAATAACTGAGATATGTTATATGAATTATTAAGAAATCTTCACCAGTGTAACATACCGAGGGCTACACCACTTTTCTGAAACCTAATGAATATTGTTAGTATTATATATTCAGAGAGAATTTTAGAAATTTGCATTTGCTGATCTTGCTTTATGTTTCTGACCAAAAAGCGGGCACTTAGAGTAATCTACAGTAGCAACACATTCATGTGTGCTGAATATTAAATAGTGAATAAATGTCCTGTAATCCATCACAAGAGTTCACAGTTAACTTGGTTCCACTGCAGAAGGAAATAATGGTGAGTAGATGGAACCAGCCTGACCTCATGTGGAGGATACTGTTCAAAGCAGTTTACAAAAACTACAACTCGGCCCACATAAAGGTTTGCTTACTGTATTTATCTGATCATATCAAAAGGTTAAATTACCCTCTTGCCCTCAGAGTATTGTGTTAGCGTGTCTTTGAGCAAGGCAGCATGCTCAGTGGTTTTTACTATTGAAAAGAAATGCCCCCTGAGATGAAGTAAACATGTTCATCAAGAGAAACAAACTGTCCAAACTGATCACCCTGATGTTTAAAACATGATCGTTTGTTGTAATGAAGTCATTAATTAGGCTAATGAATGTCTATTTATCAAATATGTCAACATACTTATCATCATCCATACCTTAAAACATCAAGGAGACAGCCATAAGCAGAGGCATATCAGCTGGTGAAAGCTCAGAGCCACAAGGTATTTGCCAAAGAACTTTTCACACAGGTGACATGTCAGACGGACGTTAACTCCTAGTGACTGTCAGCTGGCTACTGACATAACTGTGTCGGACTGGACTGAACATTCCCCTCAAGCGCTGACTGAACCAAGCCGTGGACTCGGTTTGTTAAGTACTGGAAGCTAAAGCAATCCGGGCAAATATACATCACCATGTACCCTCTGACAAAGTTTGAATGCACCTATATTTCAGGACACGCAATGGTGAGAATTGAATTAAGGCTCCAAAGAACAATATTTTTTTAAATTAATGAATAATTTATTGACTATATATTTAATTATTTGCCATATATAACATAACATAGGGCTGCACCTAACAATTGTTTTCTTTATTAATAATTCTACCAATTTATCGATGAATCTACCAACTATTGATCTTGATCAACTGATTAATAATTAGTCATAAAATGTCAGAAAAGAGTGGAAAATACCAACAATCTCCCAGGGCCCAACATGGTTTCTTCAGATTCCTTGACTTGTCCAACCTTAAAGAATCTGAAAGGAAAACAAATAATATTAAGTTTTTATTTTTATGTATATACACACACACACACATATATATATACTGTATATATACATATATAAACAAACATACACATAAATATATATATATATATATATATATATATATATATATATATGTGTGCATATATAAATATTTAATGCACTAATACAAATTACATAAAATACATAAAGTACAGTACATAAAGTAAATAAAATTAGCTCCACCTCAACTGCCATTAATCATTACATGATTATGTTAATGCTTCAATAATAGCCCTGTATCACTGACAGGAACTCTTCTACTGCATTATAAATACTTTTACTTTCGATATCGTACTTTAATTACATTTTGCTCATGATGTTTTTGACTTCTATTTAAGTATTATTTTGAATGCAGTATTTTCTCTTACTCGAAACTGATTATTTTTACACTTATTTTTCCTGCTTTTAAGTACATGATCTCGGTACTTTTTTCACCATTGCTCAAAGCCAACTGGAGTTCCTAATTTGGTAGATGCAGAAAACTTAAGCGTTTAACTCTATATATAGGAGCACTGCATCCATTCAGCTCATGAGCGTTTGTTAAAGGCTAAATGCCCGGTGTTTAATGTAAATGCAATTATTGCCCTCTGTCCAAGGCTCTGGGTAGGCGGGGCTCTGTTGCTATGACAATGACGTCAATGTTGGTGTCGAGTAACCAAAGGTCAAAATAAAGACAAGTGAATGAAAACGGAAGGAAACTTAACAGGCTGCTCAGAATAGCTCAGAACATGGCAAAATCGCCTCAAACTTCAAACAAATTCACTGCAGTAGGTGTCGACTTCACGGTGTCTGGGGATAATCGTTTTATTCGCCGGTAAGGAAACGTCAGACAGCAGAAGGTTAGGGTCACAGACAAGCTAACAGAAGCTAGCTATGTCAACGAGCTAGCTATAGCCTAGGTCGTTGGCTAACAGGAGCTAGTGCTAACAGTTACCACATTATATTGTTTGCTTTGGCCGGCTGCCTTACAAGTCAAAGTTACTTTAAGCGATTCGCTGACGATACCAATGTACTTACGGCATTTGACGCGTGTTACTAAAGGCTGTTTCGCTATTTAAGTTAGCTTTTTCAGTGTTGCAGTCTGTCAGGATAGGACACAGTAGCTGGCCTTGCAACAGAGTATGTTTCCCAGCTGTGCAACTTCACTGACATTACAGTACCGTTATATACAGCAACACGGTGTGTAATAACTGTGTGTGGCTCGCTAATATAATTGAACCTGTGCTCAAATTAATAGGACACAGCAAGCTAACGAATTAGTCTTTGTAAAGCAATTTAGTGAGTCTTGATAAAGGTATAGATTAAGGAAGTTGTATATTTCAAATTCGACTTATTATAAAAAGGAACATATAGCAGTTGTTGTTCATAAATTATTAGACTAAAGAGGTGCTTGGCAGTGAGCTTGCAGTTGGATATCTTTTATGTGTTGTCATTGAAAGGCGCCTTCAGCATCAGTATGAAAAGCCAGTCAGACTTATAGTACAATGGAAATGAGGTCAGGCTAACTTTTCTTTTTCCCCGGTGTTATTGTATTGAAATACAAGGCTGAAGACAATAATGCCTTTGATGCTGGAATCTGGATTCATCATCTACAGCAGCAGTCAGTGTGTCACGCTGGTCAGATGATCATTTCCCATACTGTTTCCTGCCCCTATGAAAGTGACACCTGCAGGTAAAAGCATGTTTGACAGTGACATCACAACTTAGAATATATGAGAGGAAGCCATCAACTTGTGAGTCCTGTTCCTGCTGTCCGGATTTTCCATGACTTGTCAACATTGTGCCTTTGTCTCTGGCTGTGCACTTTGCTGTCAGGGGCCGAGGTTACAAATGCTCTTGGTAGTTTGGGGCTGTAAACATCCCCGACTGGAAGCTGTCTATCCGAAGAGCTTTCAGTCTGATGTTTGCTGCTGCCGACTGCCTCCAGCTACACAGAAAAGGACAAATGTGCTTTGTCCATTTATCTGACCGGCTCTTTTAATGTCCAAATGTATTTGTTTGGGAACGTCGTATTAACCCATTACTTTGTATTTTGGTGGCCTGTATCTTAAATAACAGTTGTTCAGACTCAGTTCGTGTAAACATCCTACACTCAGCTGTAATCAGTTGCAGCAGAGGCTGAGAGAAGGTTGTTTACTTGAACTGGCTGGAAGTGACACTTAGACATAAAGCGAGCTGAGCACCGAGCATTCACATCAAGGTCATACATCATAGGTTTAAAATGTGGATTGACAAATCAATAATTTTGATATCTCATTAAGTAAAAACACCAAACATTTGCTTGTCATGACCTCTCAAACTTATATTTGTGTACTTCATATCATACCAGTAAAATTAGTACTTACAGGTTTTTGGACTGTGCAATTTGAAGACATCACTTTGTGATACTTTATGATATTTATGTTTGTATGCTAAATGATTAATCAAGCTTAATATCATAATTAATAATGAATACAATCATTAGCTGCAGCCCTAATACACAGTTGAATGATAATGGAAAAACGAATGTAGATGTGACAAGTATAGACTATAATCATTATCTTGTTTCCTTGGTGCAGTGCAGTGAGCCTTGCTAAAGTGAGAGGTTGCCTGTTATCAGAATCAGATTTATTACAACTATGTTAACACACACAAGGAACTTGGTTCCGGCTGCTGTGACTCTCCAGTAATAGAGACAACATACAGACAGTGTACATATTATTTATACATAATACAAAATATACAAGCAATATGCAGATGATATAAAAGACAAACAATAATGTTACGTAATGGTGTTGAATGTTTACGTTGGCATGAAAACTACGGACGTGTTTAAAGATGTGGTTGTCTGACAGATTGTGTCTTATGTAAATACAGCGTCCCTGTCAATGTGGCACAAGGTGGTTGGACATCAGGTAACATGAGGTGTGTTGCAGGTGAAAGATATGAAAACATAATTTTATGAAATGCACTCATAGATATTCAGGTCCAATGTTATCACTAGAAATAGAGAACAGCATAGGAGTAAAGGGTCAAAGATGGTAAGAGGTTGGTTTGCAGTGGATGAGCTGAGTTTCAGCTCCATCACAGTTCCTGCTTTCATTTTGACCTCTTAAACACAGTTCTATAAATAGAGATCCTGGTGTAGGGCCTAACGGAGCAGTCTAATTTCTGGATTCATCCATTAATCAGCAAGAGAAGGTAGGTTAGTGAGAAGATGAGTTTATTTTTACCACAGTTTGTATCACTGCAGTGCACCGCTTAATTGTTGACTGTGATACACAATAGATGTGGTCAGTGTTGTGTCATCACATTGCTGTGTGTCATTTTGTGCTGCCGTGGCAAGGGAACAACACTTCATTATCTTACTTATTGAGTGGAATTCATGGGTAGATACTGATTGTTTGTATAGAAGCTGCATTTTTAAAAAGCTCGAAATACATTAACTCAATATTTGATGTGTGGCACCCACTGAATTAATCTGGAAATGTTGAAATTAATAAAAACTATTAATATGGTTCATTTGTATGTCATCTTATTTCCTCAAAGAGCTTTCAGATTTTTGAACAGACAATTATCAGTGAATTCCTAAAATGTTTAAATATTTAATTATTTTCTGTAAATTTCTGCACAAACCAACACAATCAGATTTGGCTAAACGGACTTGCACATGTCAGAGTTGGCCAATAGATTTTTGTAAATGAGTACAGACCAAGAATCTGTAGGTGAAAAAATTAGTGAAACAGCTTCTTGGACTTAAATAAATCAATGTATCTTTACTTATAGATATATTTCAAGCTTTATTTACTCACCTTTTTGCAGTTTCAAATAACCAGTGAGCTTGTTTGTCAGGTAAGATGCGTGCAAAAAACTGAAGGTTAAATATTTCAACATTCACTGTGCAACTGTGGCACAGTCTAAAAGTTCACCACTAGATGTCAGACTTGTGCTTCTGATTGATCAGTAGTATACTTGATAAAACTCCCAATCACTGACAAACCAAAAACAATACAACTACAATCAAATGTCAAACATTTACATTTAAATAGTCAGTTTACCTTTTTAATTGTCATTGCGGAAGAGAGCTATTCTTGCAGCTGGTAAAACTATGTCTACTATCACAGTATCCTGTTACACAGGCTGATTAATAAGTGAGTAAGTGATTTTTTTTAGTGGCTTTCAATGACAGTAACCTTCAAACCATTACCATTATCCATTAACAAGTCTGACGAACATTTCTCCAGCTCCACCCTGCCAGGAACATTTAAAACCAAATTAAAAGAAATACCATTATACTACACAAGTCCTGGTACAGGCCTGGGGACGGTCAGTTGTTCTCTGTCTGGGGCTGATGTACTACCCAGTATAGACAACTAATACCAACAGAGGGAAAACAAACCTATTTAACAGCAGATGTCTACTTACTTCACTCTCCCCCAGTACTTCAGCTTTTTATAAAAAAAAAAAAACTTTTATTTTTCAGTTTGGAAAATTTAAAATATACTTTTATACATTAACATGAGGGTTAGTTAAATGCATTGCAATTGAACTTCATCATTATTTTGAGGGAAAATGCATTAGTGAGTATGGTGAAGTGGTAACTGTAACATACAAACCTGTCAGCAGATGTCAACGTTGAGCTGCAGCTATTATCTCTAAAAAATCACTTATTCATAAATGTGTCAAAGGTGTAATTTACTTCCATATCCAGGATCAACACAAACACTGAAAAATGGAGGGAAAATATATCGGCTTGTAATGAGATTATTTAAGCATCATTTCCATTATCTGAGGTCATTAACTTCATATGTGTGGATATAACATGCTAGTGGGAAAAAAATTGTTCAATCAGAAATAACGTTTTCAGATAGGCCTTACTTTTTAAATAACTGAGTGTGGATGTTTAAGATGATTTAAAAAAAATAAAAATAAAAAAACCTTCCTCAGAATTTACACTAAATATTTTCACATGGGAAAAAAAGACATAAATGTAGAGAAAACAATATTTACATTACGACTGACCATGTGCAGCCAGAACATATGGTCACAGTCTCTCCTGCCAGAAGTTGCAGCATTGAATAATGGCCAGAAGTGTTTTTGCAGAACATTATGCCGTCACAGTGAAGTTGACCTTTGACCATTTGGATATAAAGTGTTATCACTTCCTAACTTCCTGCTATTAGACATTTCTGTGAAACGGTGTCATATGAATTCTTGAGTTATAGCCAATGAGTTTTGACCTTTGACCACCAAAATCTAATCAGTTCATCCTTGAGTCCCAAGTTAATGTTTGTTGCAAGTTTGAAGAAATTCCCTCATGTCACTCCTACATACTGTAATGCCTTAATGCATTAAAAAATACATAAACTACACTCATTGACTAAACAAATGTCTTGGTAACTCTTAATGAAACGCCATATGAATCATGAATACAATTATGTGTGAAACTTGTGTCAGACGTAAAAGAGACATGTTCTGACGTCAGTGTCATAAAACACATTTGCAAAGTATAACTGCCACTGAGAACATCAGCACAGACTCCTGCCCTCACTGGGAAAGCCTCATTAGCGAAGCTGCTGCAAAGATGAGGTGAGGCGCTGATTTGGCAAGGGATGAATCCAGAGAGGTTAATCAAGGTAAAAGGAACATTTCATCCTGCACATAAAAAGTGTGTGACGTTCTCTCGGAGTATCGCTCTCTTGTTCCATGCATGGGTTGTGAAAATATATGCACAGCTTAATTTATGTCTTTTTTTTTTTTATATGTCCAATCTGAAACTGTTGAAGTTGTTTGCGAGGTGAAATCTCTTGACCATTCTGGCCTTAATTCATATGGAAAGGGATAAAAACTTGTTTGAGGCTCAACTCTGCAAACTCAAAAAGAAAAAGGAGAGTTTAACCTGACTGAACCAACCTGGGACAACATTAAAGGACAAGTAAACACATTTTACTTGCTGTAATCATTCTTCCTGGTCTTACAGGCCATTCTTAAAGTGATAGTTTGGGCTATTTGAGGTGGGCTTGTGTGAGTTGTCTAGAGACAGTGTTATTACCTGCAGCGGATTCAGATCAGCATGCTGCTAGTTTAGAGAAGCAGCAGGAGCATCAGCACAGAAGCTGAATGATGAGCTGCTGTGGACGGGGTCAGCAAAGACATGGTTGTCTTTCTTCATTGTGTTACGGCAGCTCAGCAAAGAAACCCCAGGTAACCAAAAAGGGAATATTGTACAAAAACACAGGCGGTCACTTTGGAAGATATCCATTTGATTTGATTATTTCAGGCTGGTGGAGTCTCATAATAGCTTCTGCTGAACTTTAGAATTCATTTCTGCATAGATAATGACAATAAAAAAATAGATAATAGCCTGCATGAAAAGGAGGAATTATTACAGCAAGAAAAACAACAATTTTAATTTAAATATGGTCACTGTGACTGTTACAGTTGATCTCTGTAAATGGAGAAATAGTTCTCCAATGTGTGCAAAACAGCAAGCACATTTTAAACTTTAAACAATGGAGTGTGCATTTTGGACACTGTGTGAAAATGAGGATGTCCTGCTGTTGCCTTTTCAAGGATGTACATCATACACTTCCCTGTTTGTAAAATACAGCGGAGAGGCACAGCAGTTCTCCCTGTAAGATCTCAAATGGTTCAGGTTATGGTAATCTGCAGGTTACAGATCATTAAATTAATATTAAAGTAGAAAAGAGTTATATGATGGTGGCTGCCCTTATCCATCTCCTGTCTTTTGTTATTGTTTAGTAGTTTGATTTGTTGTCTGTGTTATTTTTTTGCTTATTTCTATAACAGATATGTGTTGATCAAACCCTGATAACCAAGTCAACAACTAACAGCACTTTCTGTATGCACACACATTAGGAAAGATCTAATAGTTGATACCTTAATATTTGGTCATTCTTTCCTTGTGTCAGACATTATAAAGCAGGCAGCAGAATTTCCTAATAAATGATGAAATTAATGAGGTAATTCGTTTAGGGATTTATCAGAGAATCACTAGAGAAATTAAGGCTTCCAGGCCAAAATAAGTTTAAAAGCCACCAGGCACCTGATGCTAAATAGACTGCACACATGCAGCCCTTTCCATAAATGTCCTGTTGTGTCTGAATAAAGCTGTAAGGAACATTTAAATTTGTCAATATCCAAACGACAAAGCCATCACTGTTATGAATTCCCTGTTTAGCAGCTTTAGTTTCCTCCCAGGGAGCAGTTTGTATGCCTCACCCCTCTAGTGAAATCAGTCCCGTAAGTTATAGTCTGGTTGTGTGCCCATCAATGTCAAGAGTTTTATTAATTTTTTACAAAATATGGCAAAGCATCAAAAACAGTTCCTGGCACAGTACATGCTGAAGGGCATGACACACCTAAATTAAACTAATTAGCAGCCGCTAATATAATTATCTGACACATTTTGTTTGTTTAACTCACATTGGCCAGCAACAATAACCAAACAGGATGTGGCATTCAAGCCGTGATTGATTGGTATTAAAATGGCCTGAAGTGTGTCAAGAAAAATATTCCCAAGAACATTACACCACCACCACCAGCCTGGACTGTTGACACAAGGCGGGTCCATGGATTCATGCTGTTGATGCCAATTTCTGTCAGCTCCAACCAGCCTTGTAATTCTCCTTCGACCTCTCTTCTCATACCATTCTGGATGTTCTCTGTTGCCTTGACACCTCATGCATTGCACGGCTGTCACATGATTGGCTGCGTACAGGTGTCCTATTAAAGTCAAACTAGAAAAAGTAAAGTATATAGGGGAAGAGAAAAAATCCCCCAGCATATTCTACAAATACAATTCCACATTAAAGGAGAGTGTACATTATACAAAGTACTAAATGAAGCTTGTTTTGATCAAGTTCAATCAGGAAGACTAACTTTGTCATTTTCATTCACAATTCTCTTTCCCTCTCTCACCCCACTTATTGTAATCGGCTTACTTCAGGTGTTTCCAGTAACCAAATCGTATTTCGCCACAACCTAAACAAGCCAGTCGTTGCGTTGTCACTGTCAAACTTTAAAATCCATTCTGCCCTCTTCCGCTGGCAGCTGTCAGTTCATATTGCTGCGACCCTCCTCCACCCCATCCACCTCCAGTCTTTATAGCCAGTGCCAGGTCGAGCTCATCAGAGTCCTCATCACACCCAGAACTCCAGCTTCTCTTCTTCCCACCACCACCAGTGTCTAGACCCCGGGGGGTTTCCTATACTTCACACAGCCTCATCCCCTTTTCACATATCATGACATCACGATGGGGTCTAGTCGCCAAAGACTCTCACATCTCTCACTTTTCCTCTCGCAACACAAGTTTATTTGTCAATTCAGAATGAATTCTCTCCTGATTGAAATATTACTTTATAATAATATACTATAATTCAGAAACTACAAACAAAACCATGACCTTTCCCTAACCTTGACTCTTATTCCTTAATAAAATACTCTGCCTTTGAACATAATCCAGCCAGAGATTACATTTTCAACAAAACCTATTTGCCACTGCGGTCGAGGATCGCAGCGAGGAGATAAAAAAAAAAGGAGCCAACTGATACAATACTAACCAAAACTGAAGTTCACAAAATGACTCCCCTAAGCATGAACACACTCAATGAAAAATGCTTTCTAATGTTCTCTAAGCAATTGACAGAAATAGAAAGAGACACAGACAAAAAGAGAGAAGCAAAAAATCACCATCCTTTAAAAAACTGGATTTTCTGCTTCTTGTGTAGTTGCTGAATAACGTCATATTCATGCGTTCCAGCATGAGGTCCAGTTCTCAGGTGTTTGTTGTTGAGCGTTTCAAAGTAATGATCCCAGTTTCCATCTCTGTTTGCTCCAAACCCAAACACACTGACCTGCGAAAACAAATATTATACCTTGAATCTCAGCTGAATTTAAGGTATTGTTTCCACAATTTTAAAGGTTTTCTGTAGTACCAGTTTGAATACAAAAGAAAGAAAGTTTATGTTGGCTTACTCCTGTGTAGTACACACAAAAAAAATGCTCCGTAATATATATATTCTTTAAATTTCTGCAGATATGTCTTCATATATCTACTATCTTTATTATTTTAGAAAGTTAGATTAGAAGATTGACACCACTCTCACATCTGTACGGTGAATATCAGGTTGGAGGCATGAGACACTTAGCTTAGCATTCATTCTGAAAACAGGGAAAAAAACAGCTAACGTAGTGAACTGTCATTTTCACACTTTAGTTTCACACGAACCAGACAGACTGTGTTAGTACGTAAACTGTAGAGTTAATGGTGGGCCAATTTTGTTTTCTTTTGGACAGAGCCAGGTTAGCTGTTTTCCCTTCTCTAGTCTTTATGCTATGCTAAGCTAGGCTAACCGGCTGCTGGCTCCAGCTACATACTTGCCATACAGACATGAGAGTGGTATTAATCTTATCATCTAACTCTTGGCAAGGAAGTGAAGATGTGACAAGATCAGTTCAGCCACTGAGGTTATAATATGCTCTCTGAGCAGCGCTACATCTTCAGGCAGACTGGAGGTTACAGTGAGTCGCTGTCGGAAAGTGACAAAACGGGCCAGGGCTAGCTGGTGGCTAACTTCACTTTAGAACAAAAGACGTGATGGAGACAAGAGTTAATATTGGCATTGCTTTCTATTGCTGAAGACAGCTCTTGGTGAGTAAAGGAATGACGTTTGATGCTGAACTCACAATGTTTCTTCTTGACTGGTAAGTAAACAGCTGCTAATGCTAACATTAGCTATGTAGTGGTAGCAAAACGTGGCTGATAAGTAAAAGCATCTGCAGACAACTCATAAACAAAAATGCATTTCTTTTTTCATCAAACATTTGCAAGGATGAATGTTTTGACAATGTGTCGTCTATCAGTCTTCTTCTAACTTCCCTTTGCCGGTTCATGATTTCTTACTGTCAGTCAGTTAGTAAATAGCATGAAATTGTTGGCAGAATGTGTAAAGTGAACCTACCTCATCGCAAATGAACATGCTGAGAGCGAAGGTCAGAAAGCCAGTGGACGGATAACTGCCGTTCTTGCTGAGCCAAATCTCATGAACATATTTCATGAAAGCTGGACTGAGGATCATCACCTGTTATGAATCAGACTTAGCCCTCAATCTGACATTTATGAACCATTCCTTTCTGCCACAAATCCATCATAGAATACCGTTGTCTCGCTGGATTATCATATCTACAGTTTGAGACTTTTGGACCCCACTGTATGTCAGTGTCATTCAAGATCATTTAAAAATACTCACCAGATCCTTGTTAGCCATCCTCTTTGAGTTCACGGCACTATTTTTCCTGTTGAAAGTAATATTAATGGTTAAATTTAGTGGAAAATGTGCAGATTAAGTATTGTTTAGCAATAATTACATGAGACTAGTATGTCCGATTAAAATTTTGCATTGTCATGGTCAGAGTGAATTATACAATTTTCCCTCGGAAATGTAGTGGAGTGGATGTAAGTAGCATAAAATGGTACCAAGTACTACAGTACTTTGAGTAAATGTACATGTGTTTTGTATTTTAATATTGTTCAACTACACAACCAGGTAAAACTCTTAAACTCCTGAGACTAACCAAACCACCACATACACACCAAAGACTAGAGGGCTGCAGGAATGAGTCCTACCACGCGGATATTAGTTAGCATTTTAGCACTTCCGGTTCCCTCGCCCCAAAGTCTTTGGGTTTTTGGTTAGATGACACAAGCTCGAGACATTTTCATGTTGTATTCTACGATATAAATAACCCACCTATGACGTTTTACGCTTTCAACACTATCACGCCAAACACGAAAACCGAGTCTCACCAGTCTGTATTGACAGTGTTGTTGTGTTTATAATTGTGCTTTTATAAACTTTTAAAGAACAGGACATTTAGAGCCAATTACAAATGAATGTTAATGTTGCTCCATCTTTGCTAGATGTGTAAATAAGCAGCTGTATGCTAACACGTTCGCCATAACAACTCTATCAGATGATAATATACCCATGTTCTGCTCACAGATTGGCACACTGCCCCCATGTGGCCAGAAAATGAATCAATGTAGGTTTAATGTTACACACACCACCCCCTTTTTCCTCTTGGCCCTTTTACTTTTGGCCGTCTGTTGATCAGTCTGTTGAGGATAGGCGCTTTGACAGCTAATCTAAAACTGGATTGCAATAATGGCTTAATTTGATAGCATTCAGTGTTCAGTGGAGGAACTATTCATGACCTTTCACACACGTCAACAAAAGCTTCGTCAAAGATGTCTGTTAGTTGTTAAAACCAGTAATTTCATACAAACAAGTCTATGCAATGCAGTTACTTTCACCTGCCGCAGGTTTTTCATTCACATAAATGAACACAGATACAGAAAGTAGCTTTGCACTCTTACCCTTGATTGAATTTCTGGAGAAGCCAGAGTAAGTCCTTTATCTTGAATGGAACCAGCACAAGATGAGTGGTGCTGTCCAAAGGAACAGCGCTCTCTGGGTACATGACATGATGGGTTGTTCTGTTCCCAACATCTGCTTCAAAGCCTTTGGTACGGCCACGGTTTATTCTGTATAGTACAGGGGGATACATATTTTATATCATGTCATTATATGGTGACTGAAGTTAACATTAAAGGGAAATCCCAAATAAAAAAATTGCCTGCTTTATATTGGGAGAGAAATACAAAGGAACATTTTTCAGAATTGTGTCTGTGTCAACATCATCATTAAACTAGAATTGTTTTAGGAGGCACCAATGTTTGTATGATTTGATAAGAATGAGATAACACATGCAGGGATTTTAATAAAGTCTGATGATTTACCTTATTATGACATCATGGAAATCTATCAGAGGCCCATAATGTGATCCCTTCAAATTACCAGAATTCCCCACCACAGCACAAGTCCTGCAACGGTCAGAGCTGGCCTCTACAACATCAGGAACGGGTGGGAAAGTCTTGAACATGTTCACCACTGTTGCATTGTAGAAACTGAAGTTGTACCTTTCCGAATATATGCGCTGACACACAAACAGAAAAAGAATATTATTTAAGAGGCAAAACACAGGGGTGGCTTTTATCGTGAAGAACTCACATAAATAGTAATACAATTGCAATTTGTTACTAAGGTTGGCACTGACCTCAATAAAAAGACAACAGTCATTATTGGCATCAGTCTTAAATATCCAAGGGAGTAATGAAACACACAATGAGCTGTTAAATGTTCTGTAAAATGAGATTTTAAACAATAATATGGTGATGTAATTGCGTCCTGAGCAGAGAGCGAAGTCACACACCCTCTGAATGTGTGTTGTAATCTTGGCCCTATGTTTGTAACCACACTTGGACCACCAACATGCGAGGTGGCACAGTGCAGCATGCACTGTTCAGGGGAAAGTGACTTTCCTAAATTTGCTCCACTGAAGAAACCAATTTTTTGGCTAAAAAGACGACCTGAGACAAAAAAAAAAGAAAAGAAAAAAGAGATGTGACCAGAGCACAGTTGGACTGGCCATGGGGACTACTGGCTAACATCCAAAAAGTTTTTAAAGTTTTTACCGGCTCTGTTAGTTTCATTCATGTGTAGGGATGGGTACCAAGCCCCGGTATTGAACGAGCAGACAGACAGACAGAGACACACACACACACACAGTCCAGACAGCACACACACCAACTCACGCTCGTATCCTACATTTACATAGATAACAATGGCGTTGAAAACCAAATGGTCCAAAGTGTGGCTCTACTTTACTAGAGTTCATGCAAACACAGCCCATTGTTACATGTGTGATTAATGTTGTGTTTGTTCAAGTTCTTTTTTCTTCCTCAAAAAGTATCGATAAGAGTACCGTTAAAGTACCAGATTGATAAGCAGTATCAGTAAGAGTAGTAGTACCATTATACCCATCCCTATTCATGTGGCCGGTCTCAGCAGATAAATCGCAGGCTGAATTTCTTTCCCAGTCTGACCATCGAGCCACTACTGGTCTGGCTTTACCTGAGAGAGAAAACCCTACGTGCTGCTTAAGGGCTCCATTGTGCCTCAGAGCTGTTTTTTTCCTCTCCTCAATGTGTAAAAAAAACTTGATGGCAACATAATTTTACATGACTATTTTCATTAGTGGCCGGCTACAATGTTAGCTAAAATGCTGTCAGGAATTGAATTTCTTTTTTAATTAACAATGCTAATCATTTGGTCTGAAGAATAAACAGATTAAAATAAAAAAAAAATGTGTGCAGAGAACCCAAAACAGTACCTGATTTTGCCAAAGATCATTCAGTCTCCAAAATAATCAACAGTGAAACAGAAGCAGAATATTTTTGCAGCATTTTAAAGATAATCTGACATTTACCTTCCACCAATTGAAAGCATCCTCTGAGATTACAGTTTTTCTTGACAAAAAAGGCTTGGGAGATGAAGTGTTTATTTCCGTAAACCACGGATCGCCATCTGTTAAACACTTGTGACAGGAACAAAGACTTGACTTCTGAGAGCCGAGGGAAAATACAAATAAATTCCATGAATAGTTAAAAAACACAGCAATTGCAGCGATGCACAGCAGGGAAATGAGAACCGAGATTTTTCTCAATCCAGGAAGCATCTTGGCAATGTGAATGAGGAAAATATCCAATCTGTGGATACAATGAATAGTGAAATATGCAGGTGAGTTGATATATGAAAGCCGTAAAAGCTATCAAGTGCAACTAAAAACTCAGGCTGGTTGTTGAGACAGCATGACCCTGGACAACAGAAGAGGGTGAAACCAATATCCTCTGAGAACAACGGTGAAGCCACACTGAGCATTTACAGGTGTAAACCTGTTGGTACATTGTTGGCTCATGTTACACCTGTAATGCACAAGTGTATTCAGCAAGGGGCAAAATAAGAGAACAGGAAAATAACACACAGCTCAAAATATTTTTTGATTTATAGCCTGGTCTAGTTTCTTCATAGAACAATGGGTTACCATAACAAGATTTTTCAAAGCAATTACTTTGACTGTAGTGTCATTTCCCTGTTCTGCTAAACATATTCATGTCCCAGATATTATTAAAATTGTACTGTACAGTAGAACTTGAATATAGAAGACTGTGTCTACAGGGGACAATGATGTTAACAGTGATAATATAATAAACAATAAATAAAACAGAAGAAAAAGAAAATGCAATGATGTTTAACTAATTAGGATGGATAAGAATCAGCATGTGACGGAGGACGTCAGTGGAGCAGGCGGCCCTTCAGTGTGACCCAGGACCCATTTACATTCACACTGCTAAAAGAGAGCGGCCACATGTGGACCAGACCACCTCTGAATGTGGTCTGAGTGATCGGATCTCAAATGTGTCTTGGGTGCGTTCACACCTGAACTTAAAGCTGACCACTTGTGATCGGATCACCCGAGACGGATGTTAATACCAGGTCTGAACAGGGCCCTGCATGTCATCCCCTCTCTACCCCCTACTTTCCTGTAACGCTCTCACTGTCAAAATAAAAAGGTAAAAAAAACAAGAAATAAAACATTCAGAATCCAGACTGACTGATTGCGCAATAGGACTTAATTCATAATAATAATAGTCATTAAAAAATGTACAGTTTTGTACATGAGTAGATAGATGTTAATTACAAAATACCACCATCAATTGAAATGTGAAATTTATTTTATTTCTCTCTTACCTCGCAAGAGATGAAACAAAACCTGCTGTTAAAACACCTGTGAGATATCAGTGATGACACTAAGTGATGACTTTGTTTTTCAAATTTTATTTCACTTTCATTATTTAGGTTTATTATTTAAAGTCCACTCATTTAAGGCAAAATCAGTTTTAAACCTGTTGCCAAATAGACTGCACGCATGTAGCGCTTTCCATAAATGTCACTTTATGTCTGAATAAAGCCGCAGGAAACATTTAAATTCACCAATATCCAAATGACAAAAAGCCATCACTGTACTCACTTATCTTTGATGTACACTACTTTGTTTAGATAATAACTTTTGGAACCTAATTCATGAAGTTAATCTCTAAAATACATCAAGAATGCAAATCTGATATAATCGGATCTGTGATAGGTTTGTAACACATTCAAATATCCCTTCACTCAATCAAAGATGACACATGCCTGGCATGCAAACCCAGGAGATTTTCATATTTCATGCAAAAACATGAATAAATACGTGTACCCCGAAACTGTGAACAAACTGGACAAAGAAATACTTTGTGTTTGATTTACTGAAGCTTCTAAATGACATTTTTAGTTGAAATCTTTTACACAAAATCTTGGGTTTGTAAACATTTTATCGTCATTGTTCTAAAAACAATGGCTGCTCTAAATTAACTTCCATATTTTTGTACAATACATACAATATTTCATTCTACAAAATCCAATTTCAAGAACGTGAAAAATCATAATACAAAGAGTAATAATTGACCTTATTTGTAGTTGAAGGGGTCCTGTGCTACAGATTTTATAATGGTAGTCTAGGAGAGAGAGACCGTACAACACAGTGAGCTCATATGAAGATGAACATTGTATAATGTAATTTACAATGTATAAACATTAAAGCATCAGTAGTGGTAAGGAGGAATAAAGAAGAGCCATACTACCAATGACAGAAGATCAAGATAACATGAGAAATGACGGACAAATCGCTATTGAAACAACCAATTGTGCCAGTGACTTGGCACAGTTGGTAGTAGTTTCGGTTACTGCTCAGACAGTGTGAAGGACATTGCTCATACAACAGCACAAAACTGCAAGGTTAAACATTAACAAGGTTAAACATTAACAAGATTAAACAAGCCTGCTGAATGTTGGCAACACATTTTTTGGTCGGACCAAAGCAAAATAAGTTTGGATCCGACGAGATCCAGCATGTTTGGTGTGGACTTGGCAAGGATCGCTACAGTAACCGCACCTGCCAACCTTTAACCATAGGTGCGGGAGTGTGCCGATATGGGGCTGACTGAGTGTCAAAAGCAAAGTGGCAATGACATTTATGAGCGGCACTATGAATATGTTTGTTCAGACAGATACTGAATGAAAAGATGATCCAGTCTCAAGAGCCTTGGCGGAAGAGGGATTTTCCAACATGACAATGTTCCTGAACACACTGCAAAAAAAAAAATCACACAAGAGTTTTTTTCTTCAAAAGGGGAAAAAGTAAAAAATATGACCTGCCCAAGTACGTCACCTGAACTGAATCCCATAGAACACCTGGAGTATTGTAAAGTAGAAGGTAGAGCAACACAACACCTTACACTAAAAAAGGATCATCTGTGAACAATTGACTGGTATCATCCATGCCCAGGATGGATCGAATTAGTCATCACAAATAAAGATTAAATTAGAATTAGTCTTACTATTTGGTAGAAATTGAACTTTAAATCTAAACTGAAATAAGTTTCTGAAAATAGAAAAACAGCAACAGCTACAACAACAACTGCACACATCCAATGTCTTGCCTTTCAATTATCATAGTAAGAAGTAAAACAGCACCTTAATTGTGTCAACATACATAATCGTGGGTGTAGATTTGGAAATGGACAGTAGGGACATGTCCCTATACCAATGTCACCATCTTCACTCCACTCTGTGTAAACACTAATATCTATACGGCAATATGATGGATACTCGACTATGATGTGGCAGATTGTGGAAAGAGTACTGGAAAATTGTATTTAAGTACTACTTAAAACTTTACTCGAGTACAAGTAAAATTACTTGTGTAACAATGTACTCAGATACAAGTACAAAGTACGCATCTGTATCTGAGTAAACGTTACTGCGTTACATTTTTAAATCGGGGAAGAGGAGTAAAAAATATATATATATATATGGTCATCACAATAACATGATAAAACTGTTAAATCAAATAACATCTACAATGCTATACACATTAGTATTTCACTACATCGCACCAAAAGCAACCAATAAATTAAAGCCAGGCACGTGCAGCCTGTGCATACAACTAATACATATAAGCACTCAGTTGGCAGTTTATTAGGAACACCCAACTAATTTTAAGCCATTTTAATATTATGAACTGTTGTAGAGAGTTGTTGATTCAACTGTGGGATCATGTTGGAGGATGTGGTTTAGTTGAGCTGTATTACGTTATACAGACAGGTGTTTCTGTTATTTATTAACAGTAGAAACACCAGGACACAGCAGGTGTCCATAGACTTCATGTGGCAACATTAAGCTTCATAAACTAAACAGCTGCTACTTCTTGTAAAATTAACAGCGGAATAAAGCAGCGGAAAAAAGCAGAGATGTATAAATATACATACCTACGTGAACGCCACACGGGCTGCAGAACACAGACAAGACGCTGTACGTTGCTCGGCAACACAGTGGTTGTTGATGCTGCACAGTGTTGCACACACACCTGTGTGAACGTCATCCGGCTTCTTGGTTAGTCCTTATGCAAGTTATAACCAGTCCACTCGGGCTCTGTCTCACTGCGCTCCTCAGTATTTTAGCATTTAGCGTTAGCCAGACCCAGCATGCACCTGGTGACCACGTAAACACGGCAGGTGTGCTTGATTTGGGAAATTTACCGTGGTCGCTGGGCGGTGCATCCAACTAGCAGTTTCTTCTCTCTTCTTCACTCTCTTAATCGTAATTTCATCACGTGACGTTATTTTTTGTTTTGTTTTTTACTCTAACGACTTCGACATCAAATGTAGCAAAAATAAAGCACTTGAGTTAAGAAATACTTTAAAGGTTTCAAATGCCACAGAACTGAAAACGTCCTCACTAAATTAATTTACCTTTCAGACAGGTGAGCTGCAGGCTCTCAGGTGAGTTTGGATAGTGGGTTCAAACAGAGTAGCACACCACCTATTCTATTCATTTAAAAACAAAAAAAAAAAAAAAGTGTAAAACATACGTTTAAAATCCAAGAAAAAAAATCATAATAGACAATTTAATCATACTTTATTATTTGCCAGATGACAAAGAGTCATAAATTAAGAAAATAATATTACTTGTGTACAATTGTAGTTTGCTTTGTACAAAAAAAAAGAAATAAAAAAGGCAAAAACAAAAGGGGTCTGTACATTTTTTCACTTGAGGATAGAAGTATAAATAAAGCAACATTAAAAAATGTCTTGTCAGGGAGAAAATCTTCATTACATCCAACAAGGAGGTCCTCCATACTGTTTGTTTCATCAGCAGGATTACACAAAAAGTACTGACCCGATTTGCACTGAACTTGGCGGAGGGATGTGGCACAGGGAAGAATCCATTAAATTTTAGTGCTGGTGCCATTACATGGGCAGGTGCAGGAATCTACCACTTAACATTGCAGGATAGGGCATTTTTCAACTGTACAATTTGGTGTAGATCCATAAAATAATGTGGATCTCAAAGATTTGTGTTGGATACCATGACTGGTCCGCAACACATTTAAATATTCATTCTTTCAAAAGGTGACATCTGCCTGACAGGCGAGCCACAGAAATGTTCATGTATTATGCAAAAACACGAAGATAAATGTGTTTATCTATTCCCTGAAACTGTGGGCAAACAGAGGAAGTCACGGAAGAAATGTTTCCTATACTTCAATTATTTAACAGACTCAACAAACTCTTTTTTTTCGTCACAGAATGAGTCTATTCTTTTACCATGTGGTTCTGTACTTTCCTTCCACTCAGGATTAATCTACTAAAAGTTAGCATTGTTAGGGAGTAAGACAAGCAGAGCTGTCACTTTGAGTTGAAAGGTCCGTTCTCCTTTGTCTTGTTTTGCTTTCCAAAAATTTTTTGTATCAAAGCTGACAGACAGATCACCACCCTGGATAAAACATGACTGTCTCTTTCTCAGCGAGCTGCTTAATGATTTCATACTCGTGAGATCCAGGATGTAGTCCAGTTTTTAACTTTAGGTTTTTCAGTTTTTCCCAGTAATGACTCCAGTTTCCATTTCTGTCCGCTCCATAGCCGAACACACTGACCTAGGATAACAAAAAATGAATATATGATAAAACCGTCAAACTATACACAAGCAGCGGTGGCAGAGTGGGTCATCTCATTCAGACAAAACCACCTATCAAGCCAGTTGGGTCAGTCGGTCAGTGTGTGGGTTAAACTAAGCAGATACAGATATAACGCACTGACGTCCAACAACATTATTTAACATAAACAACAATGCTCACCCAACTTTTAGCACATTTCAGGATGTGCGTTACTAAAACTGAGTAAATTGCTGCCCGATGCAACAGACTGGTACCCAGTTTTGTTAATCTCCCATCTCAACATTAACTGTTTGAGAAGAAATCTCTATCAAATCGTCTGAATCTGACCTGAGCTGGTACTAAATTGGCAGGAGAAACAGAAACGTGGCCACATGTTGAAAAGCAATCAGAGGCGTCATTCAGAGGAGACTGTCCTCACCAGGACAATGACAGCACTGTTTGTTCAAGTGTCTAAAACAACCTCTCCCTGACGAGAACCTCTCGTGACTATTGTGAATTATGTCTGTTGTTTCTCAGAATCCAAGGCGGAGACATGGTAATGTTTGTTTTGTTACAGCACTGACAAAAAACCTCTTGCAGAGGAGGTCAGGGTGGATGAACTTTACATTCTTCTCTCTTTTTCTTACAGTGAAGTCGCATTAGGAAGTCATCGCTCCATGGCCAGTATGCACAGGAGGAATAATTACAATGTGCATGTGTGAATAAATATAAAGTTTTATAAAACGTTTGTGTGAAAACCTGAACTAACCTTTATCATGGAGGCGGTTTTTGTACTGGTCATTCATAAAACACTCATATGTTGTTTTGGAAGGCTACAAGCATATTTTGTCATTTAGTTTGGAGGACTGAGAAACTGAGAACGCAGGAAAAACCTTCGTAAAATGCTGCGAAATGGCACAAGGTTACTTGTTTTTTTCTATCCGTCATCAATTACTTGCAACAACTTGTCAATCATTAGTGTGTTAAATCTAAAGATGAACTTACCTCGTCACAAATGTGCAGGGCGAGAACCAAAGCCATGAAGCCAGTGGACGGATACCTGCCCTTTTTTTCCAGCCATGTGTCGTGAACATACCTCATGAAAGCTGGATTGACCACCATCACCTGTCATACATCAGAATTAGCCTTTAAACTTGTTGTTTATGAACCATCACCTTTGCAGCCAACGAAGTTGACATTCAAAACAATTCTCACCAAGTCCTTGTTGGCTTTGATGTGTGATTTTACTGGCATGTAGGACCTGGAGGAAATAACATGGAATGTCAAAATCAAACTAAAGCACAGATGCTTTTCCTCCATTATGTCTTGAACAAAGGGAAAATTCATGGTTATGGTTTAACGAAGCCGACAAGAGACAGTACAGTCTCTGGCATGACAGTCAGCTGACATGAAGACTTACTGCACTTTGCATTGAATGTTTGCATTGGATGTAAATTGTGCGCTGCAGGACGATCTAATATAAATGTTAAGCTTTAACAACAAAATGAACAATCAGTTGTCACAGGTGAGGGGGCTCTTTGGTGATACACTGAAACCCTACGGAATCCTTCAGAGCAGACATCTAGAAAGCAGATTACAGTATATGGGTAACCAGAGAATGTGTTGACATGCTCTGTAGTAACCTGGTTACTGTAAATCTGCGTATACATTGCAACAGGTCAGTAATCAGATTTCTCCCCCTGCCCCTGACCTTTCGCTGGAAGCCGTTCTTGCTTATTTTAACTGTAGTCGTGACAGAAGACGCCGACACTGTCCCAGAGTTTAACAAGTAGTCAAATGTTCTGCATGGAAACAGACTTGTTTACATATCTAGAGGCAACTTTGTGCTGGTTTCTCATTTCATCCGGCGGCTCTGCTGTTACGTTTCCTGTCTGCAGTTTTTTAACATGAACATGCATACTTGTAAAAAGCCGATTAGAAACCTGGTTATCTGCTGCAAAACAAAAATCAGTGTTCTCCTGAGGAACTCTACCGGTGTCTCGTTTACATGACATTTAAGAAATAATCGTACTGGAAAAAGCAGACTGTGAGGCATTACTTAGGTGTATGGAAATGCTCTGATGGCCTGCTCAACTAGACTAAATTTACATCTTGTTCTCTGTTCACAGGTTGAGCCCTTTAACCTGGATTCCTCGGGCACCTATCAGGCACCAATCTGTCACCCAACAGACCGTATCACATCAAACAGAAGGGAAGCATACACACCGTGGTACACACCCACTGCTGTGTGATTCTCACACACACAGACACACAAATAGCCTGCATAGATGTGTTCTGAAATATGAGCATATTACATGGCTTCTCAGTGTAAAAAAAGTGACACCTAATCCTTCAGTTCATCTGAAAAAAAATCTATATTTCCAGATATGAAAATACAGGGTTTTCACCTATGGAAGATTTATTTTTTGTAAGAATTCAGACTTTAATCTCAGAGTTCTGACTTTACTTAGGTGCATGGAAATGCTCTGATGGCCTGCTCAACTAGAATTGAAATTTTACATCTTAACACTTGTTCTCTGTTCACAGGTTGAGCACTTTAACCTGGATTCCCCGGGCACCTATGGGTTTCAAGACAATCTTGCAAAGGTTTCTTTGAATTAACAGTAATGTCCAATAAGCTTTGGGCCAGCAGTCATAGCCAAGGAAAGACACTGATTAATGCAATGGTTGTGGGCACAGAGGAAGAGGCTGAGTATATATGCGAGTAGAGAAGTTTTCCCTGAAATGACTGGGCTGCCATGTTTGGAGATTTGGAGACAGCCAGACTGACATTCTAGCAACTGTTGTGTTTGCCTTGATATGAAGATATAAAATGGTAATTTGGGAAATAAAAACTACCGGAATTGAATAATAATGGCGTACATAACATTTCATATTCTTGTTATATATTTTGTTTCATATTTACACTTTTCCTGTGTTTTATTTGAACCAAAAACCATCTCAATGTAGTTTTACATCACCCCTCTCAGGCTTCTGTCTGGAACAGGTCAGAGAGCCACAGAGAAGAGAGAATCTGAGCGTCATTATCCGATTTGTTTACTTAGTATTTAATACTTTACGTCTACATACAGATGGAAACTGCACAATCACATGTATAGTCAATAAAAATATGTCTCACGTGGCATAAAACCCTGTAGTGAAGGCTTTAATGAGCCACTCCAGGTCCTGTATCTTGAATGGAACCAACACCAGATGAGTAGTGTTGTCCAAGTCCACGGCGCTCTCTGGATACATGACATGATGAGTCGTTCTTTTCCCAACATCTGCTTCGTAGCCTTTGGTACGGCCACTGTTCATTCTAAATAGCACAGAGGAATATATATCATCACATGTTACTGTCATTGGCAGAAACAGATAAAGCGGCTGCTTGAATTTC